CGTTTCTTTGGGTGTTAAGAGTAGCGACTGGCATGGTGAATTAGATCCAGGATTAGTGAAATTCAAATTGAAGCACGTCTCACCAGGGACCATGCTCATAGTCAGTAGCAGATGTATTGTATTTTGTAGGAGCAATTAATGTATCAAATATTTCTTACTTAAATGAACCACGTTTGATATAAGTTCAGCTTGAAAAATAGCGTGCAGTATACTCGGGAAGAGTAAGGACTTGGATATGATATGATGTTGAGGAGGCGGAGAAGGAGAAGAGACAGAGAATCTGGGACAGTTAGTAGGAAGAGTTAGCAAGGTTTGTAAGCTAGGCAAAGTGAAGTGAAAGAAATACTTTTTCCAGAAAGCGTTTGCTGCTTGCTGTCTTGGCGAATATTGCCAGCTATCCAGATTTAGACAAGACAGCACCTCACAACTCTCGAACTTGACTAGACTTCAAGATGCTGCCTGAAGAGGCAGCAGCAGTAGCAGCAACAATAGCAGCAGATAGTGGCAGATTTGAAAATGATTTTGAGAATTGTATGTATATTGAGGAGAGATATATAAGTTTGAGCTGATGTTACATACCTCTTTCTTCAGTCAGCAACGTACTTGGTAAAGCTGCTCAACAAGTATACAGAGAAAGGGAGCAAAGAGAGGTTAGGAGAAAGGTGGAACATTTTTCAATTTCTCAGTTTCCTCCGCCTCCGCCTCCTCCTCCTCCAGTTCAAGCCAAGCCATATTCAAGCTAACAGTGCTGCAGTTGAGGCAGTATCAACTATAAGAGGGTAGAGGGGTGGACTACTTACTAAACTAACTTTTGACTACTGTCGTCATCATTGCCAAGCACAAGCACATAAACACACACACACACACATACATACATATATATATACACACACACACACACACAAATAGAAGATTCATTTGTAGAGTTGGATGTGCCCACGCAATTTTACATTTAGCTAAAACTGGAGAGAGGAAAGAGGAGACGGCGAAAAGATGGATTTACTGTTACATTTCCTCCACTGAGCTTCTTTTGGCCTCTAATTATTAACAAAATAATTTTCGATTTAAAAATTTGCATAACATAAGTCAAATTGCACTTAGTAATGCTGATGGCTATATCGAAAAGATATTTAGTTCATTAAAATAATAAGTAATTTAAGAAGATGGCATATAATTCAGTATTAGATAAGCAAAATTGAACAGTGATAACAGTTTTTATTTCGACTTGATAATTTTGCAAATAACAATCGATCTGAACTTCAATTCGCAATATCAAATTCATTTATACCTTCTGTTAGATGTCGTATATTTCAATAAATGCTTTATCAATACAAGGCATGACTTTTCCATTTTCATCTTCCTAATTAAAAAAAATATTTCAGAATATTTTCTTATCTTTGATTTTCTAGTTATTTCTAACTACCGTTTTATTTCTCCCGAAAAACTACTTGTGATCATCCGAAGAGTTAGACTATTCCAGGTTGAAATACAATTAGCTAAATATTTTCAAAATATTGTGCAACTTTAACCCCCCAATATTATCAAAGAATCAAAACAAAATTTGTTGTCTTCGAAGAAATAAATCGAAAGTTAACTTAAAATTAATTTGGAAGAATGAAAAGTTGCAAACGTAAAAATTAAAGTCAGAATTGATTTTAAGCATAAAGAAATTGTACTATCTTCTACCGAAAATGTGTTTAGAAATTCAAACGAAAATTAGACAGAAAATATTCGAAAGCTAAAATATTAATGACGATGATGGATCGAGTGTTCGAGAATTCCAAAATGGGATTGGCTAGTGGTGATGAGAGTGATGATAGTAAAGGGAACGATGACGATCTGTGGTATTTGTTTATATTTGGGAGAAAAAAGTGATCATGAATTCAGTAAAAGGCCATTTTTAACAATGCAGATGAGTGCACATTCCATTTCGTCCGCCACGTACTGCGCAGTGAAAAATATTTGTTGTTCCGTTTTGGTACCCTTCCCAGTGACGACCATATCAGTCTGTTAAATCATCATTTTAAAGCTTTTTCCTTCTGTTTCTAGACATATATGCAGAATGAATCTTCACTCATCCTTATGGGAATTAAATTAATTTCAATTTTGCACGAGTCACTCAGTGCATTCCTCAAAGTGGTGACACATGATAAACATGTACTGAAGCAGTTTAACCGTATAGTTACAATTTGAAATTTTTGAAATCATTACAATTTGAAATTCATTTGCCTATTTTGGAGTAATGATGGGTGCAACTATATGTAAGCAACTATGTGTTGCAAAGTCTTAAATTACTTAGTAGTTAATTATTGCTTTAATTAAATTCTAACTACATGATACTATACTTTTTATAATCCTAGACTTTGGGTGTATTAAACTGACTACAGACTAACTGGCCAAGACTTCAAATTTTCTGACTTTCCCGAAAAAGAAATATACGTTCCAAATCCACATTTATTAGGCCGACTATCTTTTGATATACGAATACATAAATGCATAATGTTTTGTCTGAGCGAAAATGGATTTTTACATAAATGTGAGTGCTGTCTGTTGAAAAGTATTAAACATGTTTTGCTGATATGATATGGACGTGTGACGTATAAGAGTTGCCTATACTTTTGTCATCTTGTTTTACTGACAGAAATAAACAAAACTTCAAACTTTATAATTTTTTCTATTTTGGAAAGTGGACCGTGTGCTAATCAATCGGTGTACATGGATGAAAATTCGGACATGAAAGGAAATATTTAGTCTAAAGTTTAAACACGGCCACTTCTACATCATAACTGCACTGTGTTAATAAAAAATTGAAATGCAACTAAAAATTAACTTTCGGCTCCTTACTTTCCTAAATGATTTTAATCATTGAATTATTTATTTCCTCCTAAAAATCAGGGAAAAAACACTGGCACAACTCTTAACATTAAATATTAAATAGTTTCTAATATTTAATTTTCTACCTACCTATCTCACACCAAAATCTTAAAAACTGACATTAAAAAGCTAAATGCAATTTGACAGAGTCCTATGATATACAAGAAAAATTCCCGATGAGGACGAAATACATGAAAAGAACTACTTTCCCATACATATTATGAGGTGATATATACCAAAATTATGGTAAAAAAGAGTTGTGATGCCGTTATAACTTTATTATTTATGGCCAAAATTATAGTGAAGGATGTAAAATAGAATGTAGTATGTCACTGCTGAATTGACCTTGCACTTACTGATTAACATAATTTAACCAGATATGACAGAAGTTTTAACCAGATATAACAGATGCAACAGATTTGAAAAGTTTAATTTAAAAAAAAAGGATGAACTTAGATCCTCTCCTGTCCAAATTTATATAACTAAGAATATTCCTTGCTCGTTTAGAAAATCAAGGATCTATTCATCAAGAATTATCAATCAAGTTATCTGGTAAAAATCTAAATTAACAATCGCTTTTAAGGCTCGAAGCCGTGCAAAGAGACGGAGAAAATATTGAAATAATTTATTTTCAAAATGTTTTGAGTTTTTTCACGAGTTAACATTCCTAAACTAAAATATATGATCAACGGCAACTGTTAAAACATTTCTCGTGAACACGCATGCTTAAATTGTTTCATTCACTTTCTTAAGCAAATATCCGGTTCCTAGCTTGTTGGCTGGCCGTAAGAACTACGCTTCTTTACGCTTGATCTGAATTCGACCCCTTTTTAAAATAATTTTTGCTTTGTAGCTTCGATCCTAAAACTTCTGTTTGATAAGCTAATCCGATCAGTAAAACCATTCTTTGTACCATTCACATATAAACCATTCGAAGCACGCACATTCTTGTAAGTTTTGCTACACATTCCATTGTCACATTCATTTTCCCTTACGAAATCCATGAGCTTCGTACTGACAGCCTTCTGTACTAACAGATTATTTTTTCCGGACTTCTCTTTCAGATTATCTGCTTTTTGTAACTTTTGTAGCAGATTTGTTTCTTTTGTCCGTTCTCCATGTTTTATTTCTTTTTCCTTAACACTTTTCTCAGTTCTAATGAATTCAACTGCCTCAATTTCATTGTCGAAATTTGTTTTCGAAATATCCATTCTACAATTATTTTCACTGTCAAATAATGTCGTATCAGTATTAGTCAAAAACAATGACTTTCCTCCATTCGGTAGTAAACAAATTACTTCCTCATCATCAATAACGTGTTTTCCCTCGAATTTCTTGATATTTTCATAGAAATCATCATTTTCAAATGAAATAAATGCGAAACCCTTGTGCAGGCCTGTCTCCAAATCCTGAAAGATGTTTAACTAAAAAAACTTAGATTTTAATGGTAATATTTTGATATCCATTAGCTCAATATTAAAATTAACCATCAAATTTGATTAATAATCCCTTTAATTCTGGATAGAATATCATTTGATCATAGCTGATATAGGGAGACAGCAATAATAAGTACTATCAAAAAAGAGGAACTTACAAATGGCAGCATGATGTTTCGGACTTTACCAAACTGAGAGAAGTAGTCTTTCAACTGCGCTGAAACAAAAGAATTTAAAAGAATTTAACGACTTGAATTTAACTATTTCATCGTATATCTTTAGTTGAAAAAATTTCTTTGAATACTATATTTCACAAGGTTGTAGTGATAACTTACATGCACCTGTAACCCAACTGATTCTTTTAACAAAAAGTTTCGCGCTATTCCGCCGTGCTTCTTTAAAAATTTTAACAGCTGCACCAGGTTCTCGAAGTAAACGACCTGCCATTTATCTGCAAATCGATTTGTACATAAAATCTGTCAAAAATTAGCATCAAAAAGATTAGTATAAATTTGACTTTTTTCATAAGTGGGCATAAACGGATTTGAATTTTCCGAGATAAAAGATACCAGATAACTGATTGAAAAATAAGTCAAATTAAAGCAAACAATACTATCGTCAAAAAAAAAAAAAAATTTCAAAACAAGGAATAAAATATATGTCCACATTATAATAAAACGTACATGTCAATCAATAATCAAACAGCGAATGGAAAACTCGAACGAATTTTAACAAAGCAAATAGAGCTATTTCTATTTTTGTTGTTTCCTAGAACTAGATACTGCAATCTTTGCAATTACCTGAAACAGATTGTACTATGAAACCATATAGAAACCATTTAAGTGATATTATTTTAGAAAGCGCATTCGTACAAAATTTTGCTTAAAACATAAATAAACGAAAAATAACAATGATTGAAGCACTTGAGAAGCATTAACCTGCCGTCTGTTAATATAATGATTTCGTTGCTGTACAGCCTTTATTGCGTCGTCGGTGCTCTCAAAAACAACAAATGCAAAACCCCTGTGCAGACCTGTTTCCCAATCCTGTAAAATAAACTAAGACCCTACTCATAAGTTATGGTAATATACGCATTTTAGTTTTCAAGTATCAGTTGTGAACAGAAGAGAAAAACGGAAACTAACATATAACAATTTGACGTGTTCCACCTTCCCAAAACGACCAAAATGGAACTTCAGATCCTCTGCAAGTAAATAAACAACAATTCAATTTTACGTAAGTCAATACTTTAATTCTAGTAATAAAACAATTGTTTTAAATTCAAGATTTCATCTTTCTACGAACACTTCACTACAAGTATTGAATTTAAATTGCAAGGTAACAAACTTTCACCGGTGAACCAACTGATATTTTTCAATACAACACGAACTGACACGAGCGACGCTTGGAAATCTGTTGAAAACACTCTTACTAAAGTCCACTGTCCTACATGCATCCAATAACCAGCGGATTTACCTTACAACTTATTACTATTACGCACTTCGTTGAAAATTCGATTTAAATAAAAGGTAAAGCGTTTATGAACTATGGATAGACAATTTTTATTTTTTTTAACTTAAGAAAATATTAACTCATCAAAAACGATCAATATCTCTTTTTTTTTTTCAGAAACTGTCCGCATAATTAATAAAATATAATATAACATGATAAAATATAAGATACGACGCTGATAAACGAAGAAAATGTTGTAGGAACTAAAGAAACATTTATAAAGAGAACATAATTTTATAATGATAAAGCGAACATAGTTTTATAATCACAGAAGCCAACAATTATGAATTTCTATTCCATTAGTCTTCCATAATTTTTAAAATTCCAAATTTGTTATAAATATGATTTGAGCTAATAAAAATAGCATAAATTTATAAACAAAGTAACCATTTAAAAAAATAAAACACAAGCTTGATGCAAATTTAGAATTTAGTATATTACAAGTAAGAAACATAAACAAGTACTAAGAAGCCTAAATACCCTCAGTAAACAAAATTGGCAAATGATAAGATTCATAGGAATGTTCCTCTACATGACTTCTATCGTGCACCACGCCAATGTAATCAATTTCAAGCGAAAAATCTCCATCAATTCTATCCATCAACATTATAGTTAATGAGCTGAAAGTACTTCGTTGAGTATAAGAGGTATTAACACAGTGAATGTAAAAACGTCTGTAAGGGAAATCATGAAATTTCAAGTCTTCAAAACTCCAAGATTATTTCAAAATCTTCAACACTAATCATCTAATTAATATAGAGTGTCATGTAAACAAACTAACACATTCAAATAATAGGAGTAGGGTTTGAAGTTGAACTAAAGAAAATCAACACGGGAAAAACAGTAGTAGTCCCAGTATGTAAGCACTTAAGACATCTGTTCATGCTCATCAGATGATGATGATCAACATGAACAGAACAACAGCAAAGCGCTGAGTTTAAAAGTCAGAAAAGCCAACATGTTGTGGAACTGTATACTGATCAACATAATAATGCTAATAGCAATTACTACAGTTTTACTACAATTTTTAATTCTCCCTTTTTTAAGCATAAATTTGTATTTCATACCTGACGTTAATGTTTTTTATTGGATACTGCTTATCCATAATTCGATTGCGCACAGTATGGATAAACTTCGAGAACGGAATTGCTTCGTACTGCCAATATGGGCCACCATGAGTATGCAAATAATAACTGTGGGCATCACCCCAGGTAACATCAAATAAAAGCGGTGAATTCAACGAAATTTTATATGTACGCCCATCACCACGGCACTGAAAAAGAAATCTTTTTCAGCCATATTTTTAAATGTAACAAATGATACAATAAATTAAGAAAAAAAAAAGTTCTTTCACAAAAAATTCTAAGACGTATGAAAAACTTCAGGATTATTCAAAAAAATGTCAAAAAAAGAATAATTTCAGGAAAATAGAATAATTTGAAGAATAATTTCACAACATAATGTCACCTTTATAAGGAAGTGGGAATAATTTGACCATTTGCTGAAATATTTTTTCTTCAAAAACGGTCCCCTATCTTCGAATTTGATAGCTGCCCATCCTGCTCGTTCAGTTCGTCCATCCTTTAATAAAAATTTGAATCGTATAAATGTCACAACAAAATATTTAAGCGACAAATGAACAACAAAAAAAGTACAAAATAACCTTTATTAGCTCTGTGCTTAAGGTACCTCTGAATAATGCTGTTTTTCGATCAGTGGCTATAAATTCACATTTTGAAAATCCTTCATTACTGTCTGAATCAGCACCACATCGCCAAAATTTAAATGACTAAAAATATATGCAAACTCCACACCTCTTATTATAAATGCAGGCAATTCATTATATAAATGTTTCAATTACTGTGCATATTAAGATATTATCATACTAAAATGATCACCTCTGATGTTTTGAACGAAATATCTTTTCGGAACTGACCATGTCGGAGACTTCCCAAATCTTCAAGAATCTTTGGTTTGTATATTCCAAAACTACCTTTCATTTCCTTAGCTAGTTCCTGAGCGAGAAAAATTAGTTTTAAAATCGGTAAAAGTCTAAGTGCTCAGCCGATATGATTAAATTACATTACTGTCTCCAACCAACACTACTATTATAAGTAGGAAAATTTCAGAAGTCGCCAAAACAACAACCATAGTACTATCATTAAGATAGTTAAAATTCATGCTCAAATCCGACAGAAAATTGCTTTCTCTACCCTGCTCTAATTCTACTGTTAAAGCAATGAGAAAGAAATTCCAAATCTGTTTTCAGAACTAACCATAGCATTGTTCCAGAAAAAGGTAGGCATTTCTGTGACAATATCCTTTAGCTCTGCCTCAGGATCAAAGTCCGGTCTCATATATTTGTTCGGATAACTCAAATTATTCGGTTGCACATCCCTGCGGAACAGTGCACGTATTTTCCTTTCCAATTTACCTTGCAGTTTAGTCATTGACTGAAATTCATTCGAAAATCCATTTAGAAATCTCACTTCTACATACTCAAAGCAATAAATCTCAACAAAAAACATATTTTATTTAAAACACCCACATAATCGATGGATTAAAACTACCTTTTCCTCGTCATTCTTCAGTGGTAGTGTACAAGCCTGGAGAAATAATACTGTAACAGGTCTACTTGAGCAGTATAAATTAGCCCAAGCCAAAACACTTCTACACATCATCACTAAAACGTTCAGACGACACACAACAGTACTGAAAATGAAAAGAAATACTCTATTGCTCCCCTTCAGTTTCCAGTACTCTTCAAGCAACCGCTTACTAAGTAGCGGAATCATAAAACAACTGGACTTCCCATAAAGACATATCTAAAAACGATTGGAAATCTAGAAAATCTAGAAAGCAGCTCAAAATCAATCCAAAACCCAACTTTACCGTTGTGACGAAATAATTTAAATATCAAGGAATTGAAATTTTTCATAGGCTCATAAACAGTTTATTCAATTTTCATGTAAGATGATAAATATTTCAAATCAGGTGTTTAGATCCAAAATGAAGCAAAATAAAAGATAAATAAAAATTTTTATTGTGAACAGACATCAAGACTGTACCTAATAAAAACAAAACGAGCATCATTCAGCACCTGTCAAAAGAGTTTGATGATTTTGTGTTTTGACAGTTATGTAACACAGTGATTCTTGTGGAGATGAAAAAACAACGATAATTAAAGAATTCCAAGAAGCATATGAGATCATTCTTCGAAGAGCATTGTCAACAGTTACGATAGGCTTCTCATCCACTTTCATTTTCAGTCTTCTTGTATTAATATCCACCATCACAACGTTATGCGAAATCATTTCTTCATTAACACGCTTCACCAACTCTTCCAGTGAATCGTAATCATTCGTGTTCAAGTATATTTCGCTTAAAAATAAGTGTTTTTAAAAATGTTTGATTTTTACGCTGGATAAACTTTATTCAAAGAACTTATTAGTCATCATTCCAATATGAAAATACTAGTTTTTGAAGATATAAAACAAACTGTTCATTGTTTGAGTTGTCTTTGATGCCATCAGGAAGAGCATAAAAAGCGCTTTTACCCTTATCGAGTCGTAAAAAATGCAAAATAGGTTCAAATCCACCAGTGCAAGTTTGGAACGCATCACTGAAATAATTATTAAAGGCGGACATTTTTTAAATAGAAAAATTTATTCGACAAGTGGAAATTGTTTTGAAATTTAATTACAAATGTATAAGTCGTGGTTGCAGAAGAATGTAAAATTTTCTCGAAAACAAAAATTTCATTCTGAAGGTTAGTGGATTTAATATAATAAATTATGACAACTTACCTCCAAATTAAGGTTGGTTCTTCGCTTGATGTTTGAGGCAATACAGAATTTAAACAACATATAACACAGTACTTAACGACATTTTTTTTGCATGCGCAATAAGGCACAATGCAAGCAACAGATAATGGCCTACCACATCTTTCACAAGTCTGTGGCACACTTTTCTGTAAACGTCAATTTTTGTTTTCATTCTAACCAACAAACATAGTATAAGCCCTATGCTATTTTCCACTGATGTATTGAAGGATTAAAAACCGTTGAGCTAAATTGATAGTTTCATCGACCAGAAAAATAAAAAAGCACAACAACAGCTTTTTCAAACCAATTTTCAAAAAACCAATGCATAGCAACAAATAAAATAAGACAATATCTTCAAAAAAAAAAAAAAAAAAAACTTACAATATCCAAACACCGTTTCTTTCGTTGTGGTTCTTGATTAATTTGAGCTTCCGAACATGAATGTTTGTTTTTATCAATGCGCGCTCCAGAAGTGGTTAAGCCATTTTCACGAGCCCAATCATCAAAACTCCATCCCAAAGAAACATTCCCGAAACGAATACTGAATTTTTTCAATTTATCTATTATATAATAAATAATATAAATTTGATACGAACATATTGCAAAAGGACTTTATCATATAATGCATGGTTATAATAAGTACCCATGAGAAAGCTTGTATTTCAGTAGTCGCATAGTAATAACAGCATCATCGACAGAACAGTGCCCATTTTCTCCTTGAATTTCTTCATCCAGAAATATTCTCGCCAATGTCTATAAATCATTCTATCAATTTCACAAAAATGTATGATAAGAATTATATACATATCTTTTCCGTATGTTTATTTTTCACGAGTTATAACAATGAATGAAACGAAAGAATATTCTCATAAAATTTGATCAGGAATTACCTTTAGGGATGATCGTTGTCGATCTTTACCAGATAAATTTAAACAAAGAGATATATCGACACAATATGGATGTGTGATACGCATCGCATTGAAATCGCATTCAAGAGTATGTCCAACCAAAATTGCATCATTCGGCAAGATATGTGATAAAGCTCTCTAAAAATGTGATGTTTTTTGCAATTATAATTTTTTATCCTCAAGACTCTGATAAGTCAATAAAAAAAGAAAACGCATAACCCTAGAAATATACTATTTGCTCAGCAACGTTAAACAGTAATGAGACTCGCTTTAATAATAAATGAATGAAACCAACTTGTACATCTTCAACCCGCACATTCACATTTTCAAGCATTTTCTCAGTAATGCCACTGTATTTAGTAACATAATCAACTATTCTGTTCCTTGGTTTCACAAGCGTATCCAACAAAACTTCATAACACTCGTCGACCTGAGTAACAAAATTTATAGTGAATTTTGTTCACGAAGTTGAAAATTTTCATCCCTTCGTCAAACACTAAAAAATTACATTAACTTACAATTGATATCCTGGTCAGTTCACTTTCCCCAGTTTCTGTTGTACACATTTCACAATCAACTGCAAAGAATGGTGAATCAGCTTTTACTACACCATACTTTTCCTGAAATAATAATACAGCATTAAAATTGAAGAAATCCAACCAAGTAACAAACTAATATGCATTTATTGCTAATTTATAAAATGTGAAAATATGAAATACATAGTCAAATCTTACTTTTATTGGTATAATAGGCGTTAAATCCATGATGCGATTCGTTTTGGGAAAAGGGTAACAAAAATCTACCATTTGTCGCAAAGTAACTAGTAGTGCACTTTTTACATCAGATTTAATATGCTCTTCTAGAATATTAGTATGCTGAAAAAATGAATATTTCATGAAAAATTAAACTAATCAATGCAAAAAAGAGATAAAAAAAATCTTTATTACTCAATTTCGAACATCCTTATCAGTCATATAAAATGATCAAATGTTAAAGCAAGAAGTATTATTTTTCGCTTGTTAAGCAAAACAAAAAAAAAAAGAAAAACAAAAAAAAAACAAAGCAATAACTGTGTTAAATAATTTCAATTCCAAAAACATCACAAAACTTACACCGACAATTCTCTTTAAACGTTCGAACTTTGAAAGCTGGACATTAAGCATGTTTGTCCAAAACTCCATACTCTTCCATGCTTCTGTCTGCATTCTGATGAAAGATTTTGAGCCAAACATGCGACCGATATATGTATCCTTCTTATTACTTTCCTGATAAATGCTTCAAGATACACTATGCTTTGAAATACAACTCTCTATTTGGCCATAAGAAATCACAGTTTTACAACAGTATGAGGGAGACGATACTAAATTTCTGAAGTAACTTACTACCATTTCGAGATTACACTCGATCCGAAAAATAACTGCTTGCAATATTGCTCGACTGGGTCTTAATGATATCCAAAGAGGTTTGTCAACATTGTGGAATGACACGTAATGCACCAATTCGGCGATATCTATGAATACGTTAATGCGTGAAAATTCTAATTTTCATGTAATGAAATAGTGAAATACATAGAAGTGAAAAAAATTTACTATGACTTCCAAGCCTCACACCGTTCAACTTGTCTAAACTTAGACTGATTTTTGGAGGATCTTTCAGATGCCGCATAGTCCGCAGTTTTTTATCGAGCTTGAAAGTTATGTCTTTATCTGAAACAATTTTTCCTTAAACATATCTCATTCAAATAAATGAAATTTAATATGAATATGACTTGGAAAAAAGTAAAAATTTGTTAAAAAAAAGATAACCTAGGATCTGACAAAACCACCAACCATCAAATGAATGCTCAAAAGACGTAACTGAAGTTAGATCCACCGCTGTAGGATCATCACCAGAAAGCAACAACACCTCACTGATATTCTTCTTCAATTTTTTCACTTTCCTTCTCTCCTTATTACTTAACACTTTAACCATACAGAAGCAATCCTACAAATAAGCTTTCCACAATCTGAAACATCTGTTTATTATAATACAAATTAACAACACTATAACACCTAACAAATATACGAACATAACGAAAACTGTACAAATTTGACGGATTCAAAGAAATACACAACATCAACATCAAAAGCTCACAAATAAAGTCCTCTTACTAAAGAAAGTCTGAACTAAATAATATATTTTTGGAAACAGAAACTTTTAAATGCACTAAATAGAAATATTCCAATAAAAACTCAAAGAAACAAAAATCGAGGCTAGTTTTCAGGTTAAAATTATTGAAACTCTGTGAAAGCTGATTTCAAAATTTGAAACTGTATAAACTGAGATAGGATGTTGGAATATTTTTTACACAGCTTAAGTATTCATAACTGATTTTCTGATGCAAACCAGCATCGAAATTCGTGATTTATCTAATCGCAATTGGCAAGATGGATATATAATGAATGGATTTCAGTTCAGTAATCATTAGGATCCAACACCATCCTCACTGTCACTTTTATCAGGTTCGGCATCATCATCCTTGACAAGTTCCAGCACATGCTTTACAGGCTCTAATTGTCCATCTTTCCCAACCCGTCCCGGAGTTATCAGTCCTTGATTCATCAGCTTATTAATATCATTCATCAGTCGATGTACCTCGTATTCTTTTTGCTCCTCAGTCATTCCAGTAAACGGATTTTCTCCCGCAGGTTCAATATAACCAGTTACTGGATTTACTTGTGTTTCAACTGCTTTATAATCTTCTGTTTCTGAAGCCTCGCTATCTGACTGATGCTTCGAGGTATTCAAAGCATTCAAGATGCCTCGATTAGCCAATAAACCAGCCGCATGTCCAAAACCACAATATTTGACGAAACGATTAACACTTTTCTTACATAAGATGAAAATGAATTCAGCTGCCAAGTCCTGAGTATTCGAAATGCTCATCATTAAGCGAATCATACGATTACG